CTATATATGACCGCCATGAAAAGACAAAATTCAGATTTATTACCACTTATGGTGATAATAAGTAAAAGATAAAACTGAAAACGAGCTGGCTAAACGGTTTCCTGAATCTCGCTCACAAGAGCTAAATCGATGTTAATAAATAGAATTATCGCTGAAAAGTGATTATTGTATATTTATTTAAAATTGGTATATTTTGGTGGGAAAATTTTTCAATATAGATAGAAAATTTGTGACCTACTTTATTGTCAACATCTTTATGTCATTATTAAGAGAAAAGAGCAAAATAATTTTGTATTATTAAATAATCTTTTTGTTCCTTTTTAGAACGTTCGAAATTTGATTAAAAATGTGTTGTTTTTATTGCGTCATCGGGGGACCAAAGATTTAGTATAGGGAATTTTAGAGGGATTTTTTTTTTGGGGACATATTGATTTGAAAATTCTTACAAAAAATTAAATAATTGTCGGATTTTAAGGAATATTTCAGGACTTATTCACAAATGAATGCCATTAGTTCTTTTTTAAAATATTTCTTTTTTTAGATAATCATAGTAAATCTTTTTTTTGACATTTGTTACCATCACTTACCTAATTTTTTACGAAATTTCTAGAAAATTAATTTTTACCACTGAATGTTTGTTTTAGTTCTACGACGCAGAAATCCAATTGAAAATTTAAATTATCAATTGTTTTTCGCAAAACTGGAACACTAGCTACTGATAATTTGATTTGAATCGAAAGATAAAAATGCAATAAAATTAAAAATTATTTAATTAGAAAAGCTTTTAATCAATTTTATAAATAAAATATATTATGAATATCATTGTGTTAAAAAAAATCATTGATGAATAGAGAAATTTTACAAGAATTGTTTTCATTTTTTTTTTAATTATAAAAATTTATAAAGTTTTAAATCTTTTTTATATTTCTGCATTAATTTGTAATTTATTAGGTGATACTTTTATTAAGTAAAACTATGTTTACTAATCATAAAAAATATGTTTATTAATCGTAAAACTATGTTTACTAATCATAAAATCTTTTTAATAATGATAAAACTATGTTTACTAATCATAAAATCTATTTTTACTAATCATAAAAATATGTTTACTAATCGTAAAAAACTATGATTAATAATCATAAAAAATTTTTAATAATGATAAAAAACTATGTTTACTAATCATAAATCTATTTTTTACTTATCATAAAAATATGTTTACTAATCGTAAAAACTATGTTTACTAATCATAGACGGAAAAGCTTTCAACAATTCAGCGACACTGGATATTTTTTGCTTGTGTGTGTGTGTATACACGTGCCGATTTTGATAAATACGGATGTCCATATCAGAAAAATAAGAGCTATAGTACATTTAAAGCCAGTACCTAAAATTAATTAAAACATTAGATTATGGAGAATATTTTCATAATTTTTAGATTACTGATAAGTAAACATTCTATAACAAAATGCACTGAAGTTATAATCAAGTAATTTTTTAGAGATAAAAAAACTTAGATAAACTGTTAATCAAACTGTTATCCTGTCATCAATTTAAATAAACACCTACATTCGTGTTAAAAAAATGATTTCTACGATATTTTAAACTAAAAGTAATTCTTTTGTTTTAAATCGAATTAGTTAAACTTGAAATCAGCAAACATTCTTCAAATAAAGTTTCAAAAAAGCATATTTTATTTTTGAAAGATTTTTAATAAAGAAAATTACGTTATGCTGACAGATGGCTAAAAATGACGCTAAAATCAGAGGTTCTTAGCAATTTAAAGAAAAATCTTCCTGTCAATTTAAATTAGTTTTGAAATACACCAACGTATTTTGTTTATTGGAAATATTAAATTTAATCTATTACCTTGAAATTAAAAGTAAAATAAAAGCTTCAAGATTTTTCATTTTTAATATTCATTTTAAACGTTTGGTATCGCTTTTCTTTGTCAGTATCTATCTCTCTCTCTATCTCTCTCTCTCTCTCTATATATATATATATATATATATATTAAAGAAAAAACAGACCAATTTTAAGGTTTCATTATAATAATTTATTTCACCAGAGCCCTTTTAAACCATCAGATAGCACTTCCAAAACTGAAATGAAACGAAAAAAAAAATAGAAATAAAAATAAAAAAAAAATTTCTTTTAAATATTAGCTCTGTATTTACATTGAGCTCTCAGATTTCATCCTCCTTGGGATTACCCATACGGATTAGCAAGTTCTTCATAACTTAACTATATATATATATATATATATATATATATATATATATATATATATATAAAAAAAGCTTTCTAAAATAAACACCATTTTTTATAACACATCGTTCTTAGGAGGCACGGTGGAGTAATGGATACCAACTTCTATTAACAAATGGGAGCTGTGTTCGAATTCCAGTCGTAATCCAGTTTTCACTTACTAATACTCTTGTGTAAGGTATGGATCCTCCTCTTCACCCCCCCTACCAGGACAGACCTGGTTCTATAGCCTTTGATGGCAACTGGTTACCGCAGAAGAGAAATCGATTGACGCATGTTTTACATATATATATCATTGTCTATGGTGCTGTGTATTTGTTTTAACGGTCTTAATCTTTAAAACTTGTCTCTTCTAAATTTTATTAAGGCCTTTCCTCCTCCTCTTCTTCTTTTCTTTTTTTTATTCTTCTTCCCTCTTCTTCTTTTTTTTTCTTCTTCTTCTTCTTCCTTTCTTCTTCTTCCTCTTTTTCTTCTTCTTCTTCTTCTCTTCTTCTTCTTTTCTTCCTCTTCTTATTCTTCTTCTTCTTCTTTCTTCTTCTTCCTTTTTTTCTTCTTCTTCCTCATCTTCTTCTTCTTCTTCTTCTACTTCTTCTTCTTCCTCATCTTCTTCTTTTTCTTCTTCTTCTTTTTCTTCCTCTTCTTCTTCTTCTTCTTCCGTTACACCTCTCTCCAGAGCTTTCATACATTTCCCTCTCACCTTTCATTCTCACTCCCACACATATACACTCTTATTGATTTTTTTTTTAAACTGGAAGATATATTTTCTGTTTTCTTTTTAAATTTGTAGACCTGATGAATTGGGTCGTGATTACGATTCCAATGTAAATAATTATAACCATGAATTTTTAGTGTTTGAGCCGTTTATATATATATATATTTCTGTCCGAATAATGTAAATAGTGGACATAATACCTCATCTCAGAAATATAGACAGATAATGAAAGGCCGAAACGTTGTAATAAATATGGCGACAATGTCCGAAATATGGCGACAATAGTCCGAATAATGTAAATAGTGTACATAAAACCTCATCTCAGAAATATAGACAGATTGATGTAGGTGATTCTCAATTTATGAGTACTTACGGGGAATGTCAAGGACCCATTTCTTCTCACACGTTAGTTAACTTAAACAGCGAAACGTGGACTCTAGATTTGGGTGGCAGCCAGTCTGCGACAAGGATAAATCTTAATTCAATATTGAGGAGAAAGCAGTGGAAAACAACTCTGCTATCTTTCCCAGAAATAATTATGGCGATGCTCAATTTTATATTAAAGAAGAAGGAAGCCGGGTTTGAGTCATGAGAGTTTGTGTCCTGAAGGAACATGGGTTAGGATCAGTTTTCGAAACTCAAAAGGAAAAATGATGTTGAAAACAAATAATAAAAAAAAAAACGAGCAAAGATATTGCAAGAAACAAATGAATGTCATTGGCCAAGAAAAGATAAATTCATTGGGTATTTTGTTTCTTTTGTCTCATCACCGGCGTTTTCGTTTCCAAAGCTCTGAAATGACCAATGACGTCGATGCAATTTTTTCGTTTGATGTTTACTCGAGAAACAATTTCGTAATAGGTTATTGTCTTCTAATACAAACTTCTTCTTCTTCTTCTTCTTCTTCTTCTTCTTCTTCTTCTCTCACTTTCTCTCTCTCTCTCTCTCTCTCTCTATTTTTTCTCTCAAGCTTTTATCCTTCCGTTCTTTTTCTTCTGCATCATTCTCCTCGCTTTCATTAAAGTTTCCCTTTATTCATCAGTCAACCTCTTTTTCGTTTTTTCCTTTTTTTTCTCAATCACTTTTTTATTTCGGATGTATTTACCTTCTTTTTTCTCTCTTTCGCTCGATTCGAAGAAGAAAGGCGAGAACAAAATTTGCTCAGTTTATCCGCAAATACACGTATTTTTCGTAATAATTTTCCTTTGCAATTTATTGTTTCCCTCTTATAATTTTAACTGATAATCAATTTGCTCTGGGGGGAGGAAGTTGTTCTGAAGCGTAGCAAGAAAAGAAAGAAAGAAAGAAAGAAAGAAAGAACGAAAACTGAGTACATTAAAGATACGTGAATAGTAGAAAGAAAGAAAGAACGAAAGAAAGAAAGAAAGAAAGAACATTAAACACCTGCAGATAGTAAAAAAAAGAAGCAAAAACGAAAGAAACAACAAAACCTTAGATAGTTAAAAGAAAGAAAGAAAGAAAGAAAGAAACTGAGTACATTAAAGATACGTGAATAGTAGAAAGAAAGAAAGAAAGAAAGAAAGAAAGAAAGAAAGAAACTGAGTACATTAAGGATACCTGAATAGTAAAAAGACAAAAGAAAGAAAGAAAGAAAGAAAGAACGAAAGAAAGAAAGAAAGAAAGAAAGAAAGAAAGAAAATAAATGTGGTCAAGAAAGAAATAAACTGAGATATACGTTGATGGTAAAAAGAAAGAAAGAAAGAAAACCATTTTTTCACAGTTTTTCCCGCTTCCTTCCAAACAAATCCTCTTCTCTTTACTAAAGATTAGAGAGAATTTGTTTGCGTCAATTATTAATTCTTATTTGGTGCCTTTCTTATTTGTTTTGCTTCTCGAATATAAAATGGCGCATCAAACACGACCGGCCAGCAAATTGGCGCGCAACTAAATTGGCGCTCGTTCACATTCCTTCTCTGTCGTTTCTTTACGTTAATTATCTCACCTATCTTTCTTTCTGTCTTTCCTTTATCGAATCTTTCCTTTTTTTTTAGATTTATTTTCGATGTTTTCTTATTTTCTCACTCACTCTTTTCTTTTCCTCTGTTTCTCAGTATTTTTCCACACATTCTTTTTCATCTGTTAACAACGTTGCTCTTCTTGTAACACACCCACACATTCTCTCCACAACTTAATTGTCCCCTCTTTCCACCTCTAAGTTATTCTTATCTTCTCCCCCCCTCTTTTTGTCTCTCTCAATCTCTGTTTCTCTGTCTCTGTCTGTCTGTCGTTCACCCATTGCCCTCTTCGTTATTTCTCTATCTCTATCACACACTTTCACACACTCTCTCTCTCTCTTTCTCTCTTGCTTTTTATCTTCCTCTCTCTCTTTCTCACTCACTCTCTCTCTCTTCCTTCACATTTTCTTTTGTTTTTCTATCTATTCTCACAATCCTCCTTTTCACTTGATCGATTAATTTTCTAAGACCCCCCTCTCTCTCTCTCTCTCATCTTTTCTCTTTCTTTCCGCATTCGCTCTCTCTCTCTCTCTCTCTGTCTTTCCTCTTCTCTTTCTTTTCAAATTCTCGCTTTTTTCACTTCTCTTTTTCAAGATTCTCTCTCTCTAATTTCCCATTCTCTCTCTATCGCGCGCCTTCTCTTCCTTTTCCTTTTTTTTCCTCTTCTCTGTATTTCACTTTCTCTCCTCTTCTCTTTCTTTTCACTCTCTGTCTTTTCTTCTTTTTCTTTTCAAACTCACGCTTTCTCCCTCTTCTCTTTCTTTCAAGAGTCTCTCTCCTTTTCTCTTTCTTTCAAGAGTCTCTCTTTCTTTTCTTTCAAGAGTCTCCTCTTCTCTTTCTTCAAGAGTCTCTCTCCTTCTTCTCTTTCTTTCAAGTCTCTCTCCTCTTCTTTTCAAGAGTCTCTCTCCTCTTCTCTTTCTTTCAAGAGTCTCTCTCCTCTTCTCTTTCTTTTCGATTTGATTCCAATCCTTTTCTCTTTCTTTACACTTTCTCTCTCCCTACTCCTCTCCTTATTTCACTTTATCTCTCTCTCTCTCCTCTTTTTTCTTTTCACTTTCTTTCTCTCTCCCCCTCTTTTCCTTTTATCTCTCTCTCCCTCTTCTCTTTCTTTTCACTTTCTCTCTCTTTTCTCTTTTTATCTCCTCTCCTCTCTCTCTCCTCTTCTCTTTCTTTTCACTTTCTCTCTCTCCCCTCTTTTTCCTTTATCTCTCTTCTCTCTCTCCTCTTCTTTCTTTTCACTTTCTCTCTCTCCCCTCTTTTTCACTTTATCTCTCTCTCTCTCTCCTCTTCTCTTTTCTTTTCATTTTCTCTCTCTCCCCTCTTTTCACTTTATCTCCTCTTCTTTCTTTTTCACTTTCTCTCTCCCCTCTTTTTCACTTTTATCTCTCTCTCTCTCTCTTCTCTTTCTTTCATTTCTCTCTCCCCCTCTTTTCACTCTCTTTATCTCTCCTCTTCTCTTTCTTTTCACTTTCTCTCTCTCCCCCTCTTTTTCACTTTATCTCTCTCTCTCTCTCCTCTTCTCTTTCTTTTCACTTTCTCTCTCCCCTTTTTCACTTTCTCTCTCTCTCTCCTCTTCTTTTTTCTTTTCATTTTTCTCTCTCTACCCTCTTTTTTCTTTCACTCTCTTTTTTCTTTTTTACTTTTCTCTCTCTCCCCTCTTTTTCGCTTTCTCTCTCTCCTTTTCTTTTCCGTTTCTCTCTGTCCCTCTTCTCTTTTCTTTTCTCTCTCATTCAACATTCTCAATTTCTACTTCGCTCTCCTCTTTTTTTTAGTTAATTTCCATTTTCTTTCACTTGTTTTTTCCCTTTCTCTTATTCTCTATTTCACTTTCTATTTTCAGTCTTTGTCTCCACCACCCTCTCTCTCCTCCTCTCCCTCTCTTTCCCTCTCTCTCTCTCCCTCCTCCCACTCACTCTCTCTCCATCTCTCCCCTCTCTCCCCCTCTCTCCCCCTCTCTCTCACTCCCTCTCTCTCAGTCCCTCTCTCCTCTCCTTTTCTCCCTCTCTCCCCCTCTCTCTCTCTCGCTCCCTCTGTCCCTCTCTCCTCCTTCTCTCCCCTCCTCTCTCTCCCTCTCTTTCCCTCTCTCTGTCTCCCCTCTCCCTCTTTCCCTCTCTCTCTCCTCTCTCCATCTCCCCTCTCTCCCTCTTTCTCCCTCTTTCTCTCCTCTTTTCTCCTTCTCTCTCCCTCTCATTCCTTCTCTCCCTATCTCTCCCTATCCCTCCCTCTCTCCCTCCTTCTCCCTCCTCCTTCTCCCTCTCCTCCTCTCCCTCTCTTTTTAAATCTAATATCCTCTTTTATCACTCCTTCTCTTTCTGTCTTCCCCAATTTTCTTTCTTTTCCTTCCGCTTTTTTCTCCTTCTTCTCTTCTTTTCTTCTCTCCTCCCTCTTTTCTATCTCCCCATTGCACCCTCTTTTCCCTTTTCTCTTGACTAGTCACTTTCCTTTCTCCTCTTCCACTCTTTCCATTTCTTTCTTTTCTCCTCTCTCATTTCTCCCATTTTTCTTTTTATTTTGTTTTCTCTCTTATTCTCTCTTTCAAACTTTCTTGATTTCTTCTCTTTCCTTTCTTTTTTCTATCACTTTCCCTTCTATCTCTTTCCAATTCTCTCTCGCCTTCCCTATATCCCTTTTCAACTTTCTCCCTTTCTCTCTCTCTCTCTCCTTCTCTCTGTGTGTTTCTCTCTTCTCTTCTCTTCTTTTCTTTTCTCTCTTTCAACTTTCTTTTCTCTCCTATTTTTCTTTGTTCTTTCTTTCCATTTTCTCTCTCTCTCTCTTCTCCCCTCTCACACCCTCTTTTTTTCTTTTTATCCCTTTTCCTCTCCTCTTCCTTTTGCTTCTCCTTTTCCTCCCTTTCATTCTCCTTTTTATTCATCCCTTTCTCGTCTCGTCTCTCTCATTTTCCTTTAACCCTTTCCTCTTCTTTCTCCTTTCCTTCTCTTTTTCCTTCTCCTTTTCCTTTATTTATTTTTTTCTCTCCTTTCCTTCTCTATCCCTTTCCTCATCTCTCTCATTTTCCTTTTTTTTTTTCCTCTTCTTTCTCCTTTCCTTCTTTTTTCTTCTCCTTTTCCTTTATTTATTTCCTTTTCTCTCTCCTTTCCTTCTCTATCCCTTTCCTCATCTCTCTCTCATTTTCCTTTAACCCTTTCCTCTTTCTTTTTCTCCTTTCCTTCTCTTTTTTTCCTTCTCCTTTTCCTTTTATTTATTTCCTTTTCTCTCTCCTTTCCTTCTCTATCCCTTTCCTCATCTCTCTCTCATTTTCCTTTTAACCCTTTCCTCTTTTTTTCCTTTCCTTCTTTTTCCTTCTCCTTTTCTCTTTTATTTCCTTCTTTATCGTTTTCTCTCCTTCTCATCTTTCTCCATTTATCTCTCCTATTCCTTTATCCCTTTCCTCTTCTCTCTTTTACCCCTCTCTTTCACTCTCTTTTTTTCTTCACCTTTGTCCTTTTCTTTCTTCTTCCCCCCACATCTTTCTTTCTTTTTCTTTTCTCTCTCTCTTCCTCTCTTTCCCTCTCTCTCTCCCTCTCACGCTCTCTCCCGCTCTCTCCTTCTCTCTCCCCTCTCTCTCTATCCCTCTCTCTCTCCCCTCTCTCTCTCCCCCCTCTCTCCTCTAACTCCTTCTCTCCTCTCTCTCCTTCTTCCTCCCTCTCTCGCTCCCTCTCTGTCTCCCTCTCACTCTCTTTTTTCCCCACATCTTTTCACTTTTCTCCTTTTCTCCTAATTATCAGCCTGTGAGAAACCTTTCCATCACACAATGCTGTTTTTTTTGTCGATAGTAAAAGGAAATTTTGCCCCAGAAATAATGCAAAATCACAAGAAAGACATAGAAAAAGGAAACGTAATCCAGCGAAGGCAGATTCTGGGGAAAAATGGTAAACCAAAAAAAAAAAAAAAAAAAAAAAAAAAGAAAAATTACAAAAACCTAATGAAATATAATAGAATATTTTCTCTCAAGACTCTATTCTAAAAACAAAAAAAAAAATGAAGAAAGGACGTACTTGTTCGCTAAATACACTTCATTTTCTAAAGAATTTTTCAGGAGTAAACGAAAGAAAAGGCGAGAGAAAATAAGAATGTTGAATATTATTTTCCTGTGGGGCAAAATTGAAAATTACGGAACAAATACAAAACAAAATCTTTACAGACAAAAAAATATTTCATGGTTTGTCCACAAAACTGATTTTCATTTTTCTGCTCACAGAAATTAAGATTAACATAATTCAATCTTTGTTTTCTCCGCAGGTGAATAAAGGACGGACTTGTTCGTTATTTAAGATCATTTTTTTTTAATTTTCTTTACAGATTTAGGACTTAAAAATACAAATAAAGCAGTCTCATTGATGTCGGAAACTTTAAGATGAGGATAGGATGTTTTATTAGATGGACAAGAATAACTTTATGGTGGGGGGGAATCTAAAACCCAAGAGGGTTGTTGCTTGAATTTAAAGCATTCCAACGCTTGTTGCTCTCGCGCCACTTTTACTCCATTTTATTTTCTCGTACTTCCTGACAGTGGAACTCCTTACGCTAATTTGCTTCCCTGATAACTATAATCTTCAAAATTTCAATGCAATGTCAATTGCCATCTTCTATTTTCTAAACCCCTTTATCTTTTTATCCTTTTCTCAATCCTTCTCCCAACCCTTTACCCAGTCTCATTTTCACTCTCTCTGTCCCCCATTTTGTGCTTGGAGTTGTGCATGAGTATAGAAGACATTATTCAATCTTCATGCACAACCCAAGCACTGATAGAAGACATTATTCAATAATAACTCTTAACAAAACTAGGCTCGTCAACCATTACCCCACGCCGGAAGTCATTCCCAAGCAATGTGTCTTGCTTATTCGAAGTCAGTTCACGATCAATTTAGTCCCACACTAGTTCAGTTGATGAAAGATATGGAAACTGACATAAGATCAAGTCATAATTCTCCTGATTTTCCTTTGATCTTAGATCATTTCCATCTTAGATCATTTGGATGTAGTTTTAAGGTGTGTTATAGATCATTATCTTGATGCAAAATAAAATTTTGTCCAATAACGCGGCAGACAGAAGGAATTTTTATGAATTTTTTATTAACTTAGAGAAACAATTCAAGGTGGTCCCAAACCTTTGAACAGTAGTGTATGTATGTCTATCCAAACGTCTTACCTTACATCTATCTGACAATAGCTCTATTAGAACCCATTTAAATACACAGGCACAAACTTACCAGACTCCATCCGAAACATACTAGTAAAATATACAAACATAATAACCTCATCCATATGTAAAAAAAGATTAAAAATAAAGGAAGCCTTAATAATAAAAAAGAAAAAGTCAACACTTAATAATATTAACTACGAACACGGCCGCAATGTGCTGTGTTCGGAAAATAAAACATCTCTATAACTCTAAAAAAAAATATAAACGCGACACACACACAAAATTAAATTGAAAAATAAATTCAACCTTTAGTAATGGTTAAAAGTATAGCCGAAAGTGTTTGGAATTACAGAACACAGTGTGTGTGTATATATATATATATATATATATATATATATACATGTGTGTGTGTGTGTGTGTATGTGTGTGTGTGTGTGCATTGACAAAGTGCAAAAGAATCGTATGTCGCGTTTCGTCCTTGTTGACATCATCGATGCTTACGTTCATATGATTACATATGTGCATGAAGAAGTAGGGGGAACTGTTAATTTTCTTTTAAATTATATAATAGTCGAGCGGATGTACAGGGTGCTTGAAAAGTAACCCCCTATTTTATATATGTGTGGTCAGCTAGGAGTCATGACTTAACATCATGCGATTTTTTTCTTCGGGGTTCGTTAAAGGAATATGTCTACAATACCAAACCAAGAAATTCAAAGCCGAATACAAAACATTATGTCTCCCATACCACAAGAGTTATTGGTGAAACTAGCTGACGCGATTTCTGGGCGGCTCGAGAAGATGGTATCGAAATTCCGAATAGAATTTCAATCGACAGTAGTATTGGCTGCCCGGTTAAATATTCCCACCTCCCACAAAAGAATCTTACAATCTTAAAATATTTTCTGGCTTTGAATAAGCTGCAAAGGATTGAGAAGCCGTAAAAAATGAATCAATCAATGGCAGCTGAACGATGCAATGATTCAATCTCTAACACACCAGATATTGACACCAAAACAAACGTGAATGTCAAGTTTAATTCATTTTATATTAAGAATGAAAATCGGACCCAAACTTTTGAAATAACCCGTTACATACATACACACAAAGGCAACGGTATTAGATTAACGATAGTGACAGCAAAAAAGGATCAATGAAAAACACCTTCTTCTTTCCTAATCCCTCAAACAATCCCTTGGAAATTTTCATGTCTTGCTGAATATACTCCATTTAGGGCGGTTTCAGTAAAAGAATCTCTTAAACACACAGAAATATACTGGTTATTTTTCATAAATGCCTTCACCAATTGAATGGAGTGGAAATGTTCGTTTAGCAAGATTGAATCTCAAATATTTTTCATCCTGTTGTGTTTTTATTATTCCTAAGCAAAACCCAAAGAAGAGAATATATTTTTACGATATTCTTAAATCAGTTCCTAGTTGGGACAGGGAGATGATAAAGTGCTCTTGAAAATGCCGAAGAATTATGCAGTAACAAAAAAAAAAATAATAATAATAAAAAATAGCGTCCTTAATTCCTGTTCAGTGAATATTCCGTATAAACGGATATATGCGTGTTAATATTCCATGAGAAAATAGGCACCGACAATTTCTTTTTTCACGTGCAGTAAATATGCCATCTAGCCCGGAACACAACGTGAGGAGAGTTTAAAACTCCATTGAAATGACTGTAAAGAAATTGGTCGAAGATGTCGACAGCCATTGTTTCGATTGTGACATTCACTGCGGCGTAACCATGGTGATCGTTCCAATTCATTGTTTCCTTTGAAAAAAAATGGGCTTTTTGAGTTTAGCCTTATATTCGTTTTCTGTTTATTACTCTTTCATTTAGACTATTTTCATTAATATTTATTTAATTTCTTGTAAGCAGATGAGGATCTTGATAAGTTTTCTGGGTGCTTGAATTTTGGGAAAGAATAAATAAAGAATTGCATAAATAAATATTTTTAGTTCGGTTTCGTAATATTTTTAGGTTTCGGTTTCCGAAAACATTCGGCAATGGAAGCATACTTGTTATGCTTTTCTTCCTCCCCTGTATCGGGCTGGGATCAAAGTGTAGTATCTGTTCTCCTCATCTCTAAGGAAACATTCGTTCCATTAATTGACATTCATTGACCGAGCAGCCAATGCTACTTGAGTTACGCTTTTCTTCACTCCCTGGACATCAGGCTGGATCAAAGTGTAGTATCTGTTCTCCTCATCTCTAATGGTTATATTAGCCGTTCCCTTATAAGGAAACCTTCGACATTCATTGACCGAGCAGCCAATGCTACTTGAGTTACGCTTTTCTTCACTCCCTGGACATCGGGCTGTGATCAAAGTGTAGTATCTGTTCTCCTCATCTCTAATGGTTATATTAGCCGTTCCTTTATAAGGAAACATTCGACATTCATTGACCGAGCAGCCAATGCTACTTGAGTTACCTTTTCTTCACTTCCTGGACATCGGGCTGTGATCAAAGTGTAGTATCTGTTCTCCTCATCTCTAATGGTTATATTAGCCGTTCCCTTATAAGGAAACCTTCGACATTCATTGACCGATTGCTACTGAGTTACGCTTTTCTTCCTCCCTGGACAGCAGGCTGTGATCAAAGTGTAGTATCTGTTCTCCTCATCTCTAATGGTTATATTAGCCGTTCCCTTATAAGGAAACCTTCGACATTCATTCACCGAGCAGCCAATGATACTTTTTTTTTTCACCCCTGGACATCGGGCTACAGTATCCCTTTTTATTTTAATTTTTTTTAAAACTCTTCAAAATTCAATTTTTTGACCGGCTGCCAATGCTAATAACAAAGCACATTTTGTTCCCTGGACTTTTGGTGCTAAAGATTAGTCTGTGTCTCCTCATCTCCCTGGTTATCTTGGTGATGTCATTTCGTAGTTTCCTTCGACATTCTAATGGAGATATTCACCTACCCTTATAAAAACATTTACATTCAGGCTGTACTGAACACTGTGCAACGTGATTTAAGAT